CACACACACACACACACAAAATTTGTGTGTATTAAACTAAATTTATCAAAAGAGTTCAATCGTAGTTACATCGGACATGCCAAATGGATATTGCCATATGAAATTTTTCTTTTTATTACTTCGGATCATGCGATTTTGGTAGAACTATATCGATACTCTCATAGAAGTAGAAGTTGTATAAACATGCATTGTATTACATATTGCTACATTGTTCATGTTGCAGGATTTTCGTGGCGACCCCATCGCTCCTATCCCATTCGGTGGCATCTATTTACCATTAGAATTAGAGCCAGAAGTATGCAGCAAGGCGCCTATACTTCTTGCATATGATGCTGGACACTTCTCAGCTCTAGTGCCGTGTGAGCCACTGCCTACGGACGGTGCTAGAGTTCCGCTTGAAGACCAGACAGGCAACCCTTTGCCTATAAGGTAAGACCGTTTATAAATTCAGTCATTCTTCACTGAATTTTTAAATACTAACTTTGAACTTGCAATAGTTTTACTATTATATTAATTCTAAAGAAGCACGACTGTAAATATTGACATTAATTTGATGAATATAAGGTTCATTGTTCTTAATAACCTCAGTACAGAATAATGAAAAACCGACCTGAAAAGACATTCATCCCCTAGTTTGCCACCCTTAGAGGTGGAATGTTTTCGACAAATTTAAATGGGACCACTAGTGGGGTGCCCTTTTTCCAACAAAAAAAAAGAATCATCAACATCGGTACACACATGTCGGAGTTATCGCATAACATACATACATAAAAAAAATACAGTCGAAATGAGAACCTCCTCCTTTTTTGAAGTCGGTATTTTTACTCAATGTCCTACTTTTCTGTCGCTTTATATTGACAAGAATTTGTAAAAGTAGTACAAAAATTACGATATCTGTTACCCTATGGTTTGCCCTATAGACGCTGAATGAGGAGGGCCTGGGTTCAATTCCTTGTAGGACCAATTTTTGATTATCCCTATTATTGGCAATTTCAAAGAGTACCCTAGAGTGTCGTTTGAAACCAGATAATTAGTCTAATTATCTGGCAGTTCATTATTACTATTATCAAAGATGTACGATAATCGTGTAGATATTACTTGAAGCCTCTAATTTATTCACCAATAAATGTAACCTATGTAAATAATAAAATTCATCTTTCAGGTTCAACGTTGATCCAGGTGAAGATTTCCGTTGGGACGAAGAACCAGATCAGAAAACAATCAACAATCTCTTACCTGACGAATACCAACGTTCAGCAATGCTAGCAGCTTATTTAGACCTCGAACGAGTAGAATGTTTAACACCTAATCAACCTCCGGAAGAATTACGAAGATCCTTGGACGCCTTATCAACCAAAAGTTCCAAGCAAATGAACTCTGTTGCAAAGCAGTTTGGTAGTATCGGAAGGTCTATGAGCAGTAAGATTAAAAAGAACTTCGGGTCTATGGCAAAACTGGCTGGTAAAAGTTGTGGTAGCCAGAGCAATCCAGAGGATGGGTTGTCTAGAAGACAGTCTACGAGTGAAGTGTTATGTTGCAGAGTTTTGGCTGCGCGTGCGCCGGTCCAGGAAGAAATGGTTAAGAATTACTTGAATGAGGCTTGGAGCGGGTAAGTGTTGTTTTGTAAATTTATTTGGTCATGAAAAAGACCACCTTCCTGTCGTGGTTAAAAAGACTAAGAGACGAAAGGTAAATGAGATTGCTGTTCCTTCACAAAGACCAGGGAGACCAGAGCCTAAATGCTAAACTCGAAAGTCGGCTTGTGTTCAAAATTAACATTGTTAATAGCCGCAAGCGACAGCGTTAAGTCGACACTACCTACGTAAAATAGCATTTTTTATAACTGAAACCTTTTTATATAAGATATATGTAAGGTACCTATGTAAGGTTATGCCATGAGACCTATAATATATATACAAAAGGATATATTTAAATAAATATATCCTTTACTTAAATCCATTACTTAAATATAAGATAGTTCGATCTTTGTATCAATAATAACTTTTCATTTTTATTCTAAAATAATGTTAGTATTTATTTTCAATATACAGTATTTTACTATAATAACAGTCAGAGGCACACCCGGATGTTTGTTATTACGATATTTTTTGTTTCCACAGATACACGCAAGAAAAGAACCGCGTGGAGCCCCCCCAGCCGTCTCAACCGCGTTATGGCACAGGTCGCTCCCAATTCTACGCGGAAGCCGACTTGGCGGCACACGAAGTCGCCAGGAACATCGCCTCAGTAAAATCTGTATCTGTCAAACCCTCACAAGATAGAACACTATATCTCTCAAAATCTACGTTCTACGATGATCGCCCCCCGTCTCCAAAACCTTGTAGAGCACCTTTGTGCATGTACTACGGCAGTTCGGCAAATAATGACTACTGCTCGCGATGTGCAAAACTACAGTGAGTGCTTCCACATTTTTATGATTTTTTAATATTTACATTAGTGTGATACTTTGTTTTTGATTATTGGTGTTGCGTTGGAGTTTTGGCTATGGAATTTACTGCATGGAAATAAGTCATTGTCTTCAAACTAGTATGACAAATTAATATGTATATAATATTATTTTTAATATAACATATTCGATGTGTAACGTCAATATTAATGTGTAGGATTTCTAAACTTCCTATGGCAGCTGCCTTACTATTGAAACTCGAATGTAAAATGATGAGAACCAAAACTCCAAATATTTTTGATGTGTGTTTGAGAGATCGTTATATTTTTATAAATGTCGTGAGATGGCTATTTTCTGAATCTATCTACTAATATATTAATAGTAGTGTATTATAGTACTCAAGTCTTATGTTTCCAAAACGATATTTATTCATTGATAATTAATGCAGATATTGTTACAAAATGAAAATAAAATCATTGAGTTTATTTATGTAAAAACAAATCATGTTTTAATAGACAACAGTCACCAAAATTTACAGCATGTGTAGTTTCTAAATGTATATCAGTCAATGTAATCATAATCAAAGTTATACATGTATTTGTATAATAGCACTATTGTTAACGTATGAACACTGAAACTTTGTAAAAAGTGCCAAAAGTGGCTTTTACTTATAATTCAGAGAAACTAATATATTAAATACTTGTGTAATTTATTGTTGGTCACGTGTATATTGTCCATTGTATAATGGATTCTGAGTCTACAATTTTATGTTACGGGCAACATACGAAGGGTGAGCAGCCAGAAATATGAAATCTTTTATATAAATGTTTGCCCATTTTTGTTGGATTAAGTTCAAAATCATTTAATTTTTCAACGTAATGTTTACTCTGGTCAATCTTGTATTATACTTTTTAATAATTACATAAAGTTGTCTACAGATTGGCTTGTTTTTGGACGATCATTACTATGAATGTTGCGATTGAAATCCAACAAATTTGCATCTTACTTCTGTGTAAACTGCCGCTGTGGCCTAACGGTTACCACACTGGAGTGCCACGCAGAGGTCCCGGGTTCGATTCCTGGGCCGGGAGAAATATTTGCATGGTCTACGTTTATTTCTCTCGTGAGTTTTGGTGTAATTTGTGATTGTCTGTGTGTTTCCATGGCTCCCGCGATACAGGGTTTCCTTAGTGCGAGGCTGTGAGTGTGCGCGTTATTATTATTATTACGTATTTCAATAATGTGAGCATTGCTGCGTTTCGGTTTTGAAGGGTAAGGGTGCTGGTGAAATTACAGGCACATGGAACTTTTCAACTTACGTCGCAGGTTAACGGGCGCAGTGACAGTGTCCCTCAGATTTTTGCCATTTAAAGCAGCGAGCGGCACTGCAACTGTTACGGACAGGCGTGTCGCTTACCACCAGGCGCAAGACTTGTTCGTCCCTTCACTTGGTATCATTAAAAAAAAACTACGTCTAATTTCAATTCCACCGTGACGGTGAACAAAAAATACATTGACAATCGTCTATTCCTTACACATTTATACGATTTTCTCACACACGTGTCGGTCGTCGAAAAATGGAGCAAATCTGTAGGCACCTTTACCGAACATTGACCATGCTATGCTTACTTGACCCACCTGACGGACTTTGCCCGCAATATAATTTATAATACATAATATACCTAAGAGTATTCAAGAAAGGCTATTTAATGAGTATTCAAAAAGGTGGAAGTGTAATAAGGAAACTGATGTGTTCAAAATTTAGTGCCAGGAGCTAATGGTGTTGGACAATACAAAATAGGCAACTAAAAATGTTAGTAGCACTTTTCATTAATTTTTGTAACAGAGTTGAAAGTTTCGAATGTATTTTTTTAATGAATTGATTCATTTAGTGTTTAAAAAGTACTCGAATTATAGTCGCCCCTGCTCTATAAAAGACAAAAATTTCCGTTCATTACTAAATGCGAAAGATACAAGAAAAACTTTCAAGGTTACTTTTAAAATACAAAATTTGAACCAATTATTTCAAATTAGTTTAGTTTTACGACTTTTTAAAATTTGAAAAAACCCTAGTGCACTTGATGCAGGTTTGTAGGGAAGTTAAAAAAAGGTCGTTTACATAAGCCGTTTCTTCACGGTACCACTTATTTTGAAAATAATCCTGTTGATATGTCATTTAATGACATTGTTTAAAGGCCGTTTTCTTTTTGTATATTCATCAAAAGATTCTATTTATTCATACCAAGAGTGTCCACCAGAGTTTATACCATGTAACATAACATTAATTGATGTAACTTGTACAAAATAAAATTTTATTTTTTAACATTAATTTAAATACCTATGCAAATAAAAAAAAACTTTAAATCTGTTATAAAAACAATTGATATATGTATTGAAATGTTTGGACTCAGGGTAATTATGTACTAACACACCAATATTACTGTGTATAAGGTCTCATAAACATATTAAAACATCGCTAGGAATAAAGTTATACGAAAGAACTAAAAAAAATAAAACATTTTGTTCCTTTCGCGTACTTTTGTTTATAACTGTCTGCAAATTTTTATTTATGCGACCCCTATATCACACCTTCAAAAATATAGTAGGTAACGAAATTCGGATACCTAGTAATTTTTGGGAACTGGCAAAATATATTTCAAATGTGGCAAAACTTAGTGTTGTGTGTAGTGTACGTGGCAAAAGAAACCATGACGAAATCCTATTTATATGGCAAACGGTACATTAGTTTTTAGGATTTTTATAGTATTCTGTCTGGTCCCTGAGTATATTATTTTTCGAATTTCGTCGCTTTAGGGAGTCGCCACACTTATCGATACGGAATCGCATTAAGCTGGTCAGAAAAAGCTTTATGTCCTAGTAATAAGAGCGAAAACACGCTGTGCCTTTCGCATCGGCGATCCGAGCGGAAACGAAACGCCAAACACCTTCTTCGCTCTTATTACAAGGACATAAACTTTTTTGTAGCTGCGCTCAATTTATATTGCAGCGGAACGGAATGGAAGCGAATTTTGTGACGATATTGTACATAGCGGTATGAAGTTTATGGTCAATTGTTTTATGTATTCTTTTATGTCAATTTATGGTTGCGAATGCTCGCGCATTGGCGAGAATTCCGCAGTTGTCGTCGGCGACGCCTGGCGACGCCCCAGGAAGTGGCAGAGGTGGTCGCAGAGTGACGTCACACGTCGACGAAATACTACGGCCTCGCGAAAAAGCGACGAATGTGACGCCTCCATTTCATTTCGTTCCGCCGCAATGTAAATTGAGCCTAAGTGTGGTGACTCCCTTATTGAGGATGATTGATTGCGATTTCTTCATTAGTTTTGCCGTGGCTGTTCGCTTTCAGCACTGTCCTGTTTTTGAATGACAAAGAATATTACGCTTAGAATGATAATGTTATATTCATCTTGCTTCGTTGGTCTAGGAGCCTTAAAATCAAAAGAGCTTTGGAGTCAGCTCTCCGTCCTTATTTTGCTGGATTAAGAACGAAATTAACAAAAAATATATTTTTGATCTTCTAGTCCTTTACTTTAGAATAGCGTAGATTTAAGTGTGATTTTAGTTATTAAGTTTTCATAAAATATACTAAAACCTGTTGCATAGTAACTACTACTCACTTAGATTTTTTTCTCAGTCAAACTGTTATAAAGTTATTTGTTATTAAAGTTGTTAATTTACTAACATTTTACGAATAACATGTTATTGCAATTTATATAAGCTGTGGAACTCTGTGTACATAAATAACTGTAGTATAGAAAGAAAGAAAACATGACAACATAATCCAAAACCTTCCTAATATATAAATTACTGGTATAAAAATAGGCAATCACATAATTCAGAGGGTTGAACATATTATATTTTTTTCATAATACGTACCAATAACGATAGAGCAGCATATCATAACACGTTTTGTAGAATTAAATATAAATAATTATGCAAACTGAAATGGCTTTTTTTTTCATCATGGTTTAAAACGAAGGAGCTACTATCCTAGATCCTAAAATTTTATTATATTGTCACGGGCAACTTTTTCTTCTTTTTCAGTAGTTCACCTCTTACGTATAAAATAGAAAAACACAAATCATCGCGGATTTTTTTAGTGCTATAGTTTTTTTAACCCGAAATCACGTCACGCGTCTTCTGCGGAAATGTCGCGCGCTGCCGTCGGCAACTGCGAAGGCAGGCCCAGTGTGACATCAAACGTCGACGAAATCCGAAATATTACAGGTCGCAAGAAAGCTCGCGAATGGTCGAGCATTCCAGCGACAGCGAGGCGAAATTGACGCTTCCGTTCGATTCCGTTCCGCCGCAATGTAAATTGAGCCTTATTCCAGCGTGGCCATGGTAGAGTATTTCAAATTTGAATATTCAGGTGAAAAGTTGCCATTTACTCGGGTCTAATTGCAAAAAAATTGGATTTAGTCGGTCCACCGTTCAAAAGTTCTATAAGTCGTGATTTAGTTGTAAAAAACTAGATTTATTCGTTACACCGTTTCAAAGTCACCCACGCTGGAATAAGCTTATTCCTCTGTAACCACAGCTCCTAGCTTGCATCTGATTGCACACAGGTAAAAGTCGTGAATTAATCGGTTCTAGTCGGGAAATTTTTTAATTAGTCGCTCCTTTGTTTAGGTGATACAACCGATCATCAATCATTTCAAGATTATACATGTTAGTTTCGGAGCACATACTCGACTTAACTACTATTATAATTTATAGCGCAAGTCATATTCAGCTATAAATTGCATAGTTTCATTAAACATTTTAAGAACTTTATGTACAGTCAAGAGCACGTCAAGCGTGATACTTTGTACTTTGAACCGTGCTTATCGTAAGGGGCATAGAGTTGGATTTAAATCTTAAGTGCCAAGCTTGACGTGCACTTGACCCTGTACTATCTCTTCGTCTTCTGTTCGTAGTTTCACATATTCCACAATAAATCGCGCACTGTTATGTTTAAAACAAAGAAGCGACTTATTCTAATGTGACTAGAACCTACTAATCATGACTTTTCGGGTGCAATGGAATCAGATACAAGCTAAGAGCTGTGGAATCCGGACATTCTTTTGATCCTCTAGAACCACACGAAATGAAACGAAAACGGAAAATGGTGCCGCCACCGCGCCGTAAGCTTATTCCAAAACGTGTACAGTAAAACACCCTAATAACTTCGAAACAGCGTAACGACTAAATCTAGTTTTTTACAACTAGAACCGACTATATCACGACTTTCTTAGTGTAATCAGATCTAAGCTAGGTGCTGTGGTTCTCGAGGTTAAGGAATAGTGCCGCTGGAAGAAGCTTATTCCAGGGTGGACAGTAAAATACCTTTATATTATAACTTTTGAACGACCGACCGACTAAATCTAATTTTTTTCGACTAGAACTGACTAAATGCCGACTTTTGCTTGACTAGTCAAATTTCAAAAACTCCACTATGGTCACGTAGAATAAAAAGAATAAAGGCAGGCTAATTTCTATAATGAAAATTGTAGAGACCTGAGTGGAGGCATGACATGAGCACGTCAAACACAACACTTTGGACTTGGACCGTTTTTATCGTAAGGCTCAACTCACACTGGCGCAGAGTCAAAGAGTCGCGACGCGTGATGTTTTCGCCTATAGCATATTCATATCTATTTTCCCATTATTAAGGTACAAATTAGTGTTTTGCAAATATGGAATCGAGTGTCGACGCGCGTCGACGCTTGGTAGCATTCGAGCGTCTTCGCGCGACGCTTCGACTCTGCGCCATTGTGAGTTGAGCCTAAAAGTGTCAAGCTTCACACGCTCTTGACCCTGCACATCATGATCATACTTAGACTTAAAACACTCACTTAAACATTCACTGATCAATAGTGAATAAACAAATAAAAATGTCTTTCTTAAACATAGATAAAGAGCACTTTTTGAATGGTAGCGCGCTTTTGCGAGTATTTGCGGTGTCCACTAGAGATGTGTCAGTAATGGGAGTAATATTACAAACTTGATATCACGCGACAGCGTAGTGAGATATCACAGTTCACTTTGTAAATTTATGCATTACTCATTGTAATTTCTGGATCGTAAGCTGAGTCAGAGACAAAGACAAAGCAGAAAAAAGAGGAATATTTGCATTGTGGATCGCCTTGTAAAAAAAAAATTTTTTAGTTTTTTTGTTTAGAGAAATAAACATTTTATTTTTTATCTTGAAATGTAGGAAAATGTAATATGTGTGGTTTATTTGCAATGTGGGTCCAATCGTACTCCATCAAGAAAAAAATAATCCATCTACAGGTACTTGCGGCTTTACGAGTAAAAAGGTGTCAACATTTTAGTTTTCATTTTGTTATTTATTTTTTAACACAATATACTAGTTTCAATATACTTGTTATAGCACTCTCTAAATTACACTAAAATTATTTTATCTTTAGTCGAAGTTCATGTATTTTGTTAAAAAACTACATAAAAGAGTTAGCAATTTGCTGTTGTCTTTGCCTGTCACACTACCTGTTATAACGGCTATGGTGAACAGATCTATCGAAACCAATACGTTCCCAACGGACTGGCAGCATGCGGTCATAAGGCCCATTCCTAAAAACAATAACCCATCCACCTTGAGAGATATTCGGCCTATAAGCATACTACCTTGTGTATCGAAGGTCCTGGAGTCACTTGTGGTAAAGCAAGTAACAGACTTTCTAGAAAGTAACGAAATCCTTCCCACCGTACAATCTGGATTTAGAAAAAACATAGTACGACAACTGCTATGATCAAAGTAGTTGATGACATCCTATCCGCACAAGACAATGGACAGGGCACTTTGCTGACGCTACTGGACTTCTCTAGAGCCTTCGACTGCATTGATGTTAACCTGCTACTATGTAAATTACATTACTATGGATTTGCTGACTCCACAATCAAATGGTTCGACAGTTATCTGCAAAACCGATCTCAGTGTGTCGAAATTTCTGATCAGAGTGGTTCTAAATTGCTATCGAAAACACGTGACGTCATGCGCGGAGTGCCACAAGGGTCAATTTTAGGCCCTATACTCTTTATAATCTACAGCGCAGATGTGATAAATCAAATTAAATTCTGTAAGTATCATATGTATGCTGATGATATACAGATTTATATATCATGCAAGCCATGTGATACTCTTGATGCTGTAAATAAGTTAAACGAGGATTTAGAACGTATAGCGTTATGGTCAGAATCAAATGCGTTGGTGCTAAATAGCAGTAAATCCAAATATATGGTGCTAGGTACAAGAAAGCAAATAGTGAAAATTGAAAGTCGTAATGTTACTTTAGCGATCAGGGGCGAAAACATTGAGCGAGTAAGTGAGGCTCGGAATCTTGGTCTCCTTATGGATGAAACGCTTCACTTTGAGAACCATGTGTTAGGCATCGTCAGAAATTGTTTTTATAGGTTAAAGGTATTATATAACATCAGGAATTACATTAATGCTGACATTCGCATTAAATTGTGTGACTCATTAGTTCTCTCACAATTTAATTATATGGATGTGGTGTATGGATCGCGGCTGTTGAAGCGCACACAACAAATAATACAGCGTGTGCAGAACGCCTGCGCAAGGTTTTGTTTTAATATACCACCACACACGCACGTAACCCCTTACATAAACGACGCTAATATTTTAAAAATGAAAACGCGAAGAGATCTGCACTTGGCTACACTTCTCTTTGGGGTTATAAAATACAGAGTCCCGTCTTATCTGGCTGAGGAGTTGGTGTGGTCCCGCGACGTGAAGGCAGCGTTCACCAGAGCGTCAGCTTGGTCGCTAGTCCTGCCGCGCTGTCGCACCGCCGCGTTCCGCGGCAGTTTCAAATTCGCCGCAGCGAAGATATGGAATGTACTGCTGCCGCCGCCGCTCCGTAGTCTGCAATCAGTGCACACGTTTAAAAGCAAGTATAAACAATATCTTTTAGACATTAAAAAAAAACCGTATAAGTTTACATGGGCACTTACCGCACTGTTATTCGACTTATGGCATGGGTGCGCGGCGGACATCGTCATCATTCTTATGTGGGACAGGGCAAGCGATATAAATAATAAATTTGATTGTTTATTTTCCCTGAAAAATGTTATTAATTATTACTATTTTTCATTGTTAATCTTTTATTAATCAATTATCATTTAATTTTTTTTTTTTTAACTTTTATTCAATATACAATTCATTATGCAATAAGATTATTCATGATAACCTGTAAAGTTTATAAGTTATACAGATTAGTACGTACCTCTTATGGTATAGGAGACTGCACGCTATTATGCGAGCTAATTACCTACGACGCAGGACAAAACCTGTTTAGTGTTTACAATGGAGTGTGCTGCACTTTTGCTGGCTCGTGAAATCAGTATCCCGTGCTCGTAAGCCGGGGACCCCTCCCGCGCGCCTACCCTCTCTTCTTGCGTAGTACACGTGACACAAATCTCACAATCGGTTTCATTTTAAACTAAATAAGATCTATTTTGTTTGTTGTGAATGTTGGACACTACACTACATACACTTATCACTTTATATATGTATCAAAATCATTATTTAAGTATTCTATACATATAACTGAACACAACACACCACATTATAGAAATAATTATGTAATTTATTTAAGTTTACTCGTATATTCGCGACACACACGTCCGGTACTCACTCGGTTTTAGGGCCCACTGAAAATCAGCGTCACAGCCCTTCCTCGGTGGTGACAATAGCTGAGTGGGATCCTGTTACTTACGCCACAGCCGCGCACATGACACTTAGTATAATTGTGTTAAATATTTTATGTTTGCTTTGTTGATGTGTATGATGTTATTTTTATTCCTTTTTTTTCCAGTTATTTTTATTCTAAATTTTTTGTTTTAATGTAGCTTCATCTTTTTTTTGTCTTCATTTTATTACTGTGTATATTTTTGTTGTGGCGTAGTAATAAACGACTTCTATTCTATTCTATTCTATTCAATTTTGCCCCATCTTTACTTACAAAGCCGCAGCCCAAGCCCTGCAGACGGATTATTTTTTTCTACATAAAAATGATTGGAACTATACTGCAAGTAACTCATGCACATTACATTTTCGTATATTTTGAGATAAATAAGAAAATGTGTATTTCTCCATACAAAAAAAATTTTTTCTTCCCTGAAACTATCAATTTTTCAAGAAATTATACAAGGTTGAAAGTTGTTAGGCATGTTATCTACATATAAAAAAAATTAACTCGATACTACGAAATTTATACCCACTGTGCGACACATGAAACCACAATCTCAGCAGTTTTAAACCGAATTTCCGTTCCAGAAATTACAATCGGTGATGTTATGAGTATCTAATTAGTAATTGTTCAGTGATGCGTAATATCACATTACGCTGTCTCGTGATATCACGTTTGTAATATTACTTGCATTATTTATACATCTCTATTACAAATTGACATTTGACATTTTGTCGGTTGTCGTGCTTTGCTCATAATTTAGCCAAACACGAAAAATACACCATTTTATTATAATTAACTCAATTGGATGCTGTCGTTAGCGTTTTAGTTAGCTTCGATTACTTACGGCGTACAGAGTTGTGCTAATTTCATTAACAATGGAAGATCAAAAGAAAACACAGCCCAGTGTTGAGGAACTGAAAAATAAGGGCAATGAGTGTGTTAAAAACGATAAATATATTGAAGCTGTCCTTCATTACACGCAGGCGATCAAAATGGACCCTAATAACTATGTTTTATACAGCAATAGATCCTTTGCGTTTCTGAAACTGGATCAACACTATTTATCACTTCAAGACGCCAATGAAACTGTTCGGTTACAACCACAATGGGCCAAGGTGAGTTCAGTGTATACATAATTAAATAAACAAGCGAATATTAATAACCATGACAGTAATAAAAACCAATTTAAACAATTATTCAGCACTCGAAAATAAGTTCTCTCTTCAGTCTTTGGATAATAGAGATTTGATTAATAGAGTTAAATTCTTTATTAATTTTATAGGGTTATTTCCGCCGCGCAGAAGTGGAGGCAGCCAGTGGTCTTTATGACGAAGCAGTCATATCATACACAAGGGCGCTCCAATTAGATCCTCATAACACTAAACTCATGGAGTCTATTAAGAATCTTACTGACATGCAGAAGAAGAAAATCAAAGGTGAGAAAAAATGTTTTTATCTCACTTTTAATAAAACGCACATTACTAAAATGTATTCGTTTTAAATAGATTTTGAATATAGTTATAGATATGTAAGAATAAATTGTATTGTATAAATGCTACTTTCTCCTGATGTACTAAATACTTTCTTTCATTAATGTTTACCACTCATTAGGAATGAAAATGTTGTTAGTAATTTCAAGTAACATTTGTATGCAAATTTAGAATTCAATACAAAACTTTATTGCCTGCCTAAAGCACATTATGTATATAAAACATCAAAAGGTTACCTTCTTAAATTAATTTTTATAGGGCAGAGAAATTTATACATCGGTTAGTGCTTATATATATACCTTTGCATTGTAATGGATTGACGTTTTATGTTATAATGGATAATAATTCTCATCTCATATCAATAAATTGTGTATTTGATCAAGTTAAAAATACACATACAAGATTAATCATAGGCAAAAATTATAGAAAAGTAAAAAATAGGCAGGGGCAGCAAAAAAAGCCGACTGTAACAAAGACTTTAATTATTATGTTTTCTTTCAGATAACCAAAATATAATATGGATTAGTACATGTGTGGGTCTAGTCATAGGCATAGCTGTTGTTGTATTGGATCACAGTTTAACTACAAATCCTACATTGACGGTTAGTATGTAAACTGACATGATATGATTTGATGCCAGGTAATCACCCAGATGATATTTGTATACATATACACTGAGTAACCTAGACAGTATGTCGATTTCAAATGGTTTTTTTGTATGATGAATTCAGGCACATTGATACAAATTGAAGTGGGCTTCCAGGACAGAGTTTTAGACAAATAACACATTTATGGCAGTCGTATGCCGCCTTGCCGTAAGCCCCTATCGCGGTGGGGCATTGAAACCTGATCGGTTGACCATGTCGCCCATAGCGTTTACACTACACATGGCAAAAATGGGTGTTTGCCAAGAATGATTAACATATTATTAGTGTTATGCAATTTTTCAACAACTGTTATTGTAAACTGTCATCATAAAACCTGTTATTCTGCTGTTTTGTAGTTTTGCATACAATATGACAATGATACCAAATGAATATTCTGTGGTGTTACCAGATGGTTACATTTCTTACATTTTTCGTAACTTTTGATCTTCTTGTGTAACACATAAGTAATTTTTGTTTTTAAGGCAATTTTCGAAACTTTTGAGGGAATCTAACTATATTTGTTATTGTAAATCCTAAATAGTATATATATAATATATATATATATATATATTATATATATATATATATATAAGGCGTTTGTAAACGCCCCCAAATTAAGCAAAAAAGTAACTCAGAGATGGCGCAAACAGAATGAAATCAATCAATTATTGGTTATAGCTTGATGATTGTTATAGTTTTCTTGAGCGTGCTTACTTTTTATGTTTAGGGTTTAGACTGCTAACAGATTGACTGCATGTTTACAGTAATTGTTTGCAGTTAATCAACTTCATGCAGTTGAAATCTCGACTGCATGAAGTTGAGATTTCGACTGCATGAAGTTGATTAACGCATTAACTGCAAACATGCAGTCAATCTGTTAGCAGCCTTAGGCGTATAGATATATAGATTATATCTTTTACAGTGAGAACTTTTACAGTTTTTTTACAGAGAATATCTTTTACAGTTTTTACATAAAAAAAATGAACTTGTAAAATGTTACATTTGCAGACAAAAATATAACTATCCAGTAGGGCGAACAGTTAGCACGAAAGGGCGCGACTTGCGCGAGAGCGACATGAAACGCGAGATACTGTTATTCTTGCATAAAGATCTCGCACTTGATGTCGCTATCGCGCAAGACGCGCCGGATCGTGCTAGCCGCACAAGTAACAAAATGTAATTTTCGACTCCAGGGCCCTGGCAACACCACGGCAATACTGATTGTGTAATCTTATTTGTGGTTGAATCGCTGATAATGGCGTCAACGCAATGAAATCAAATCTGCTACTGTTATAAAGCTATTGTTGTTGTAACCATTAACAATAAACCAAAACGAAATGGATTTTTTCGACACCAGTTGTATTTAAATTGATTGATATTAATTACGAATCGATATCAAATATTAAAATCGACATTATTCCAATTGTATAATGCACAAAATGGCATTTTAAAATATGTGACTTATTTAAGTACTTATAGGGTACCTTCAAATTAGATGCTTATAGAAGTGCTGCAGTAGCGCGACAGCCACGCGCTTCAGTAATTTTTAGTAGCATTAGAGCTCCTTGTGAAAGAGTTCATCCAGGGAAGTACTGCCAGCTTACCTATTTGTGCCGCCAAGCAGCAATATGAGCATTACTGCGTTCGGGTTTTCAAGGGTAAGGGTGCTAGTGAAACTGATTAATGCTTACAATGTGGGACAGTGTACAAAGCCTCTGATGTTAAACAGGAATAACCACCAAATACTAGTTAGCACATGACAACTCCCTGCAATCAAAACAATAGCAAAGACTGTATTGGGAATATAATATAATGTAACTGAAATGCCTCTGCATTTCCTATGCAAATGACAAGCATACAAAATACCTTCTACGTCGACATAATTATGCCACTGATTTTAATTTAGTTGCAAAATAGACTTAATTTAGTCATAAATAACTCAATAAGTAGGTAAAGAGAAAATGCAAATTATTAAGAAATTTATTTCTTTATATACACATCCCTTTTTTATTAAACCACTTTACACTTGTTAATTTACTCTATAGTGCTTATTTCTATTTCAGAATCCTTTCAGTATGGTAGCATTCTCTATAGCGTTAGCAACAGTTGGCTTTGCAATTGGTAAAACAGCAACTCTAATGAATTCATGGAGTGCAGGCAAATCATTACAACCTCCAGAGGATTTAGGTAAATGTAAAAACACTTGTCACAAAAAAAAAACTTTTGCCAGAGAGTTAGCTTGTGCAGTGAAACTGCTGTCTGATCCACAAGATCTCAAAGCGTGTGGGCCACTCTGTATGTTTAAATTTGTAAGAGCGCGTTCCCATTATGTCGTAACGTTTTATTTATCATTGGATGACTGTCACGTCTATCCTGTTCCCATATCACGACTATCTGTGGTGACTGTAACGTGGACGTTAATTTTATTGTTGAACGACTGTCGTGTCTAGCTGTTCCCACTATACCGCGACGACATTTGTCGGTTCATGGTAGACGCCTTGGCGTTTGTACGACAGAATCGTTTGAAGTTGCGATTATCTGTCGTCATATTTTTATCGTGACGTTTTATTTATCGTCTGACGAATGTCGCTCTTGCTCTTCCCACTGGCAAAAAAGTTAATCGTGTTGTACTATACGTAAACTACTTCATTTAAATATACAAGAAATGACACTTTAAATTGCACGACTATAATAATTCGCACTGTTAATACAATAGTGTATTAACTCAAAAAGTGGACTTTGTCAGAAACGATGAAAAACGAATT